CAGAAAGCCCCTCTGAAAAGAAAAGCAGTGGGGAGCTCTCCTTCAGGCGCGTATAAGCTAAACAAGCTGTACTGTATAGCTTAAGGTCCCACTCTCTTGCCCCCCCCCCAAAAAGAAAAAATATGGGTGTACATTTCCAAAATGTAAGATAAAAAAACAAATAAAATAAAACCTACATACAGCAACAGTGGCAAACGGCTTTAGATACCTATTGGGTCCATAAATTACCATATAGCATTTATTCAACACAAAAAACAGCGACAATTTGCTGTTTACAAAGGACAGCTGGACATATAAAGGGCTCCATTACCTTCCGGAGCTTAGGGCCTCATCAAACCTAAATCAGGCCCTGCCTCCAACTGTCCCTATTTTCCAGGGACAGTCCTAGATGTACAGAAGTCGTCCCAGTTTCTGATTGGATTCTGGAATGTCCCGCTTTTCCTTAGGGCGTCCCCATTTTCACCAGAGAAATCTTGGAAGGTATTCGTATCCTTATTTATTGAATTTCTATACTGCCCTATACCTGGGGGTCTCAGGGCGGTTCACAGAATAAAATCAAGGTATGGATCAATGTAAAAAAAAATGGATCATCTTAAAAAGCAGAGACATCACCTTGCCAACAAAGCTCCGTATAGTTAAAGCTATGGTTTTCCCAGTAGTGATGTATGGAAGTGAGAACTGGACCATAAAGAAGGCTGATCGCCGAAGAATTGATGCTTTTGAATTATGGTGCTGGAGGAGACTCTTGAGAGTCCCATGGTCTGCAAGAAGATCAAACCTATCCATTCTGAAGGAAATCAGCCCTGAGTGCTCACTGGAAGGACAGATCCTGAAGCTGAGACTCCAATACTTTGGCCACCTCATGAGAAGAAAAGACTCCTGGAAAAGACCCTGATGTTGGGAAAGATTGAGGGCACAAGGAGAAGGGCGAGATGGTTGGACAGTGTTCTCGAAGCTACCAACATGAGTTTGACCAAACTGCGGGAGGCAGTGGAAGACAAGAGTGCTTGGCGTGCTCTGGTCCATGGGGACACGACTAAACGACTAAACAACAACAATGGATCAACATATGGAGTTATGTGACCCCCTAGCCAAAGAGATAAGCAACTCCACAACCTTTAGAAGACATCTGAAGGGATGTATAGGGAAGTGTTTTAATGTTTAATGTTTTATTTTGTTTTTATGTGTTGGAAGCCACTCAGAGTGGCTGGGGAAACCCAGTCAGATGGGCAGGGTATAAATAATAAAACTGTTGTTGTTGTTGAATAGGATGTCACTAATTTCATTGGAGAAATGTTGGAGGGTATGGCAGCGCCACTAACCCGCCTACAAGGGTTGTTGTTTTTTATGATTGATCAGAGAGTACCGGTAGTTTATATCTGGCCTTTCCACATGCCAGAGTACTCGTGGTGGCCACAAATATTCAAATCACAATAAATAGGACTGACCTATCCATTAGGCAAGCTGAAGCCACTGCCTCAGGTGGCGGAAGTCCCTAAGGCAGCACTCCTGAGGGCCTTCCCGCCACTGCTGCTAGCATTGATGCCGATTGGTAGGGGCGGCAAAGCAGGCCATGGGGGCGGCAAGGCACAATTGCAATTTCCTGCAGGCAGTTCCACTCAAGGGAAGGCTTCCACAGTTTTGGCCATGCATCTTGCTCTTCCCATTCAACCTCTTCAACTTTCAATGAACCTATATGAAGGATAAAGTAATTATCAAGGGAGCAGATGGTTAAGACCTTTAAGTGTCTTTCAGCCCTAACAATACAGTGCATCCTCCTTCCAGCTCATCTTTGCTCTTTTCAGAAACAAAATCCATCAGAGAGAAGTGAGGCCTGGCAACAAGTCTTGCAATATGGAGATTTCTTGTCCAGTGCCTCTTCTGGGACACTCCCATTATGTTTCCCCTATCAGCTGGTTTTCTGCCTCCCTGTGCAGGAAGTTAAGCCTGCTGATGTCTCTCTGTTGTGAACCAGTTGGGCATAGAGCATGGGTATGGGGGCCGGATCCGGCCCAATCGCCTTCTAAATCCGGCCCATGGACAGTCTGAGAATCAGTGTGTTTTTACATGAGTAGCATGTGTCCTTTTATTTAAAATGCACCTCTGGGTTATTTGTGGGTCATAGGAATTCGTTCACCACCCCCAATATAGTCCGGCCCCCCACAAGGTCTGAGGGACAGTGGACCGGCCCCCAGCTGAAAAAGTTTGCTGACCCCTGGCATAGAGGTTAGAGTGTGAGAACTAGGACCCAGGAGACCAGAGTTCAAATCCCCACTTGGTCATGAAGCTCACTGGGCAACTTTGGGCCAGTCATTGCCTCTCAGCCTGACCTCCTTCACAGGATCGTTGTGAGGATTAAATGAGGAGGTGGAGAACTGTGTATGCTACGTCGAGTTCCTTGGAGGAAAGGTGGGATACAATAAATAAAATACATGAAAGGTGCACCTGGATGTAGAGAAAATTCTTTGGCAGAGGCATTCATGCGATTGATGTCTGAAAATAATTGGGCCTTTTTGGCGCTATAGTGCATATACAGTACGCTAAAATGGCTTCTAAGTGGTTTACACAACTATAAAATCAGTCCATAATTAAAATATACAACAACATTAGAATGCCCTTAACTGAAATCCCCAATAAAACGTTTTTAAAGCATAACCATTAAAACACAGTTAAAACAGTAACATCACAAGTCATTCAGGGGAATGCTTGCCTAAGCAGATGTGTCTTCAGGAGCAGGCGGAATGCCAACTTCACAAGAGGCCCCTTCCACTACACAGCAATGTATTTGTGTTGTTATAAAGTTGCTGCACTACAGTCTTTATATTGTTGTGAGTTTGGGGGAAAGAGATTAGGCTATATGATTGCCGAGTCCCTTCTAATTCCTGGATGCAGCAAGAGTTAGAATCTAATGGCGGATCCCATTGTTGAATTAGCCAGGCAAGAGCTATAATGCATGTGTGGTTAGCATAAGAATATAGTTGCTTTGTGCCAGAGGGCAAATGGGTGGCCTCCCTCCCCTGGCTGCTAGTGAGAAAGTCAAAGACCAGGGCAAGTGTGTGGTGGGGCTAGAAGCAGGCAGAGAAGCCTAAGAGTGAGAGCCATTCTAATTTTTGCTTGAACCCAAAGCTGTGGCAATGGGAGAAGAAAGCCCTTCTGGAGTATTGGTGCTGTGAGCTCCTCCATCATAGGCTCAGGTCGTGTATATGTAATAAACCATATATCCTAAAGACTCTGCTGTCTCTGCTGTCCCTCATCCCACGAAATCAACACCCCTGGAATCTTGCACTGCTCCAGCGCTTGGGTTGGTGAGTAACAATAAAATGCTTGCTCGGAATTTGAGCGCCTGCTCCTTTAAGAAGTGGGCGCGGCCTGCCCTTGCACCGCCGCCGCCGGCGCGCGGCTACGCTGGTTTCCCTGGTCGCGGGCGTGGAGCGCTTGCGGGCCGTTCCCAGGAGAAGCTCCGGCGCGGGGCATCATGGGAAGCGTAGTCCATTCTTCCCTCCACGGCCGAGGCGGCCGGCGGCACTGCGAACTACGACCCCCATGATGCCGAGCGCCGCGGGGGCCCTGGCGCCCTGAGAGGCCGCTCTTCGCCCGGTGGCAGGGCGGCTAGTTCAAGTTGCCATAGCGGCGGGGTGGGTGGAGGAGCCGGCTGGGTGCCGGGCGGTTGGAGCTGGAGGCGTCCGAGAGCCATGCCTCGGCCCTGAGACGGGACGCAGGGCGGGAGGGCTGATCCCAGGACCGAAGAACGGGAGCCCGGTGAGAGAGATCGGTCTGGGCGGGTGTGGGGTGCTGGGAACCCGGGGGTGGGATCTCCGCGGGCCGATGGGGGGTGGGATCCAGTGCCTGGCTGCCCATGGTGGCAGTGGGGTGCAGGTCTGGGGGTGGCTGAAAAGTTCCAGGGGGCCCTCTCCTGTTAACGGCTATTGTGGCACTTTCGAAAAGTGCATGAAAAATAAGCATTGCCTGCCATTTGAGGTGGCGCAAAAGTCAACTGAAGGTGACAGCTGCGGTTAAGTTTCTAGTCCTCTGTGTCTTCCAAGCGCGGCAAGATCCTATTCTGGGCAAAAAGGAAAAAAAAAGATCCCCTTTCTTAGGGCAGCTGTCTACCAGCTGCATCTGGTGCCCAGGCTGAGACCCTACCTGCCCACAGACTGTCTCGCCAGAGTGGTGCATGCTCTGGTTATCTCCCGCTTGGACTACTGCAATGTGCTCTACGTGGGGCTACCTTTGAAGGTGACCCGGAAACTACAACTAATCCAGAATGCGGCAGCTAGACTGGTGACTGGGAGTGGCCCCCGAGACCATATAACACCGGTTCTGAAAGACCTACATTGGCTCCCAGTGCGTTTCCGAGCACAATTCAAAGTGTTGGTGCTGACCTTTAAAGCCCTAAATGGCCTCGGTCCTGTATACCTGAAGAAGCGTCTCCACCCCCATCGTTCAGCCTGGACACTGAAGTCCAGCTCTGAGGGGCTGCTGGGGGTTCCCTCACTTCAAGAAGTGAGATAATAGGGAACCAGGCAGAGGGCCTTCTCGGTGGTGGCACCCGCCCTGAGGAATGCCCTCCCATCAGACATCCAGAAAATAAACAAGTATCTGACTTTTAGAAGACATCTGAAGGCAACCCTGTTTAGGGAAGGTTTTAGTGTTTGATGTTTTGTCACATTTTTAATATTATGTTGGGGGTCACCCAGAGTATCTGGGGAATCCCAGCCAGATGGGTGGGGTATAAATAATAAATCATTGTTACTATTATATTATTAGTCATTGCAGCACAGCAGTGTGGTGCTGTTTTAACATTTTTTGCTTCTTTTGGCATGAAGTCTGTTTTCTCCCTCACTCCAGGCCTTATAGCCTTGACCCATAGGCCTGATGGAATGTGGGAACAGGCTGATCCTAACTAAGTACTTTTGGGGGGCGGCGCTGACCAGTCATCTAGTTCAGTATTTTCTGCTCTGTGGTGGCTCTCTGGGATTTCATTTTCTCCCAGACCTGTTCAGAGATGTCAGGAATTGAACCTGGGACCTTCTGCGTGCAAAGCGGATGCCCTACTACCACTTTCACCTACTAGTAAGCCCAATTAAGGTCTGTTTCCAAGGAGGGCTGCAATTCTGTGTGCTCATAGTTAGGAATATGCCCAACTGAAGGCAGTGGGACTTGCAGCTTGGTGCTGTGCATCTGAGGTTTAGGAACCTGAGATGACAATGGCCAATTATTTTTCTCTGGCTTGTGTTTCAAGGAGGCATAGGGATTGGGAAATAGGGATTTCAAACCTGAAGAGCAATTTAAGCGGTATGTACAATGCAGTTTCATTCAAATACACACACACACACACACACACACACACACACACATATATTCAGCTGGTGTGAAATGTACTTTTGCAATATGATGTTGGGGTGATGCTGGGGTGGGATTGTGTAGTAGCTCTCTGTGGTGGTTGCTGTGCTTCCCTGTCACCTGTCTGTAGCACATCCTCTCCCCATATGGAAGTCTGTAATGTTTGTGAGGAACAGGTCTCTGCCCTTACAAGAAAGTTAAAAACATAAAGTGTGTAGCTAATTGCCCTTGAATTGGGGCAAGCTTTACAGCTATGGTAAGAAGGGAAAACCCTATATTTCACATGAAGTAGAATAAAATAAGGCTTGATCAACGAAATGGCAGATTTCTGATACTGGACAATCTTCCCTGTCTGTATGAAAGGCTAAGAATAGTATTCAAGTTGTTTCATCACATCCCTTTTCAGCGGTTCCTCTGTGGCTACATAGAAAGTTTCTATGTTGGGCTTAACATTTTGAGCTGCTTGTAATTTAATCACAACGTAGTGCAATATGGACTACAAACGGGTTGCCATGCTGTGGTGTTGTCAAAAATTCTGATCTCTTTTTCCTTTCTCCCTATTTTTTCAATGGTTCTGTTCTCTTCAACTACATTGACTTAATTCAGAGTGGGTTAAGCAAAAGCTAAAATGTCACAATTGTCACCAAGATCTCTTTTTGACTCAGCTTCCTTTTCCTGTTAATTTCAGGGTAGAGAAGTTGTGGCTTGTTCAACTGTTTCATCACTGTTCCTCAGGCAACAGGCTAAAAAATATGTGCCGTGTTTCTGATATAAGCCCTGCTTTCTTTATTCTGATATGTATGTAGCTCAGTATAGCTTGATCAGGGCAGATACTGTGTCTGCAGAATTGTGGAGCTCCTTGGAAGCTTTACCAGAGGTCCCTCAGTGAGAAGTTCAGTAATGGTATTCCCAAAACTATAGCTTTCCTGCTTCAGTACTGATCTTCCCCTGAATTTACAAGTGTGAGGATGGTTGGGTGTGTTTTAGATGTTCACATGACACCTTAAGATTGAAACAGCTAACCAAGGAAGCAACAGCATGTGAGCAGAGCATGCCCACAGTTCTAAGGTCTTCAGCTGATCTAAGAGCCTGATCAGAGGTGGGTCACAACAGCAGCACTACCACTATACAAATATATGTTTAACATTAAGAAAAAGGTTTCCAAGTGCATGGTTGTACTAAAGATGGGTTCTGGAATTGAAAGGGTTCGGTGTGCAGAGGTTCTGTGATCGATTTTCATAGCTACGTCAATGTGAAAAGTGTTTCTTAATGAGATAAGTTAGAAAACGGCTGATCAGAGCAACCAGTGTTCTTTTGCCTGGGAGGAACTTGTTCCTGTTTTTATGATGCTGTTTTAGTTTTTTATTATACTGGTTTTTTTAATGTTAGTTTTGTATACCACTCAGGGATTTGAAAAAATATTAAGCAACCTAGAAATTCTTTTAAATAATTACTGCATATGTGTGCGTGTTTGGGGAATGAGGCAAGCACTGTTTTAAAAAAGTCTTTCCCCCAAATTGTTCAAAACACTGTTTTTCTTAAAACAAGAGGAGCAGTAAAAGAAAACTTTAAAGTGGTTGGGTTTTTACCACCACAAGTGTGTGTTTTAAGTACAAATAATGTAGAAGACTCCTAACTTCTTGCGTACAATTTCTATCGCTGTGTTGTTTTATCACTTTTTAGCAGATCTCTGAAAGATGTTGCCTTAGGTCATTCATCTTTCAAAGATCTGCTAACTAAAATTAACTTGTGAGCTTTTGAGGACTTTTGGAAATAGTCTATGCTAAGAATTCTAAGGATCCATGGATCTATTAGGATGCAAGAGTTGCTTTTTGCAAAAATTAAGCCATAAAAATGGTTTCTACTTAGTAACTTACTGAGGTATGTATAAGATTCATATAAATACATAGTAGAAATTTGACTTAATTTTGGGATGAATGTATCCCATTCAGCCAACTACTTTGTCCTTCTTCTCTTTTCAGTGCTGCCCTTGGCAGTGACTATTAAACGAGCCTTTCTTTTCGCTCTGTAAGAAAGTGGATTCTCTTTAGAACTGAGCTTTTGCTGTTGGGATTGCTGTACTAAAAATAGTAGTTTATAGAAGCTTGAATATATGGCACAGCTGCAAGGTTGGTTGCACCAGTGAGAAAATACTCGGGACTGGCTGTGCGTCTGGCTGCACCATAATAATGTCACAGTACATGATCTTAAGGATGTGGCACAGACTGGTTACATGTCAGGGCAATGGTTTTAAGTTCATCATTCATGCCAGGGCAGTTGTTTAAGTTCTGAATTTGGCAAAGCTAAAATCAAAGAAGAAGAAGCAGAAAACTGTCCCGGAGGAAAGTCTGGAAGCCGTAAGTGAGAGCTTTCCTCCTTTGCCATAAAAAAATACACAATTGATAAAGATGAATCCTACATGCTACCAGAGTTTTTCAGGAACGGAGCAAAGCAATCTGATCGAGTTCATATCATGACAGATCAGGAGCAGAAAATAGGATAGTACCAGAGTTCCCAACACAAATGTGTAGGGATTGATTGTTCTCTTGCTATCACCCATATGGTTACATCATTTTTATAGAGATCTACACACCTGCAGGGTGAGATAAGGAGGTGAAGGTGCTCCTTCAGATGCTCCTACCTTCAGGGCTTTGGAGAATGGTAACTGGGAAGAGATCCTTATTAGTGGTGGCACAATGTCTATGGAATCTTCTTCCCAGAAAGCGTAAGGGAGATGCCAGAGTGAAACATTTTTATCCAAAAGGGTTTTAGTGAATACTGTACAGGGTAGATGTTGACTGCTTCTTTACTGTTCTGTAAAAAGTATTCCTTTTTTACAGATGCTTATTGGTTGGGTGGATTTCATTGTCTTATGCTGTCAATTGCTTTGAAAATTGTGAAAGTAGAAAAGTGGCATGTAAACTTAAAACATAGGAACAAAGATATTGTAGGGGCCTCAGTGTGTGTGTATTATGTTTGATAGAAGGTCATACCTTGCTCCTTCTCAACTTTTTTCTTGGGTTAAAGTTTACTGTTTACTTTGTTCCATAGAATTTATTGGGAGCCAATGGAAGTCAAGCCATCCCCAATCTGCTTATCGTCATCTAGGCTTTTGTTTTTTTTGGTATAATGCCAGAGTATGATATTTTGTGACATTTCATATGCCTGTTATTTGTTCAGTCCTCCATACTCTACAAATGGTTCTACTGTTTTATTTCTTACTAGGTTCTGAAAAGTACCTAATAAGTAATTGAAATAAATTCCTTTGTTGCTTTGTTTCTGAAGATACCAATGGCCGATTCATCCAGCGAATCTGACAACTTCCATCGTAGAATTGGGAGGCGTGGTCCTATAAGGGCAACCAGAGTCCGAAATCATGGTGGTGCTGAAGATGTTACAGAGAAGATCCATACTTTAGCAAGCACATTACAGGTTGCTAACAGCACTACATTTTTCAAAGCATGTTTTTATGTTTCTTGTGCAAAGAAAAGAAAGGGCTTTAGGTCCATCCACTGTGTCACATGTCTTGCGGTGCTGTATCTGTGAGAAATATTGCTAGACACTTAAAAAAGTTTGGAGCATGTTTTGGAATAAACCAGAAAACTACTGCAGTTATTTTTGCTAGCTGTTTAAATGCCATGTTGCATTGGCACAAAATCATCTGGGTTACAGCCCAGAAGCATAGTTACCTGCTAATAAGTTCCATTGACATCAGAAAAATATCTGAGAAAAAGTATATATGCATAGAATCAGCGAGTAAGGCTATTGATACTATAGCATATTTCTGCGCCAGTCTTTAGCTGACCTTCTCTGTATATTAATAATTTTGAGATTAAGTGATGCTGTACCTAATATTCTACACATAGTGCCTTGTGAGCACTGTGACTTTCTCCCCCACTTTTAAAAAAATATGGGTGATTGTCAACGAAATCTTGTGCTGGTGCGACAGGCTTCCCCCGCTCCCCCTGCATGTTCCCTGCACCACCCCAAAGTCTGCTGTGGTGGGAACCCTAGAACAGATTTATGGGGCATGTGGAGGGAAGAAGAGGGGGAAGACTGTTATGCTAGGTAGCAAGGAGAAATCCTTGTGCTGACGGAATGTTCACTTTTGTTCAGTTTTGAATACACACAGACACACACACACACACACACACACACACACACACACATATACCATATGTATATATGGTATCATAATGCGAACTTGTCCTTAGCCATGATTGTTGGATCAGAAACCTGCTTCAGGAATTGCATGTGCTCTTTCATCTGGAGTGCACATTTCCTTCCTTTCATCCCTCACGGACCCACACAGTTGGGTTATCCACATCCATCCTCAATAAGAGCTGTCTTCATGCTGTCACCTGTGTTCATGAAGGATATGAGGCCTGTGTGCATGTTTGGATATGAAGCCTCTGTTCAGCATTTTCAAACACTGAGGTGCCTGATTTGGCATTAAGCAGAGTAGGAGAAGGTTTACAGGGGGGTAGTGTTTGTGGTTGAGGTTTTTCTTTTAATGATGTTTTCTTTTCCCATGTTTATCTTAAGGATACCAATCGGAACCTGAAACATGTGGACCAGATGCTGGGCCAGTATCGAGAATACAACAATGAACAGGCAGAAGCAATTGCAAATGTGAGCTGCTGTTGGTAAAATCTAAACTCACCAGCTTATGCCCCTAAACATTTTGCTGGATGTATTTTCCTATTCGCTCCCCAGTATCTTGTGATGGTGGACTGGA